TTTCGGAACTAGGGTTTGAACTCAGGCCCTTGCACTTTCCAGGGAAGCGCTTATTCCACTGAGCCATTTCCCCAGCTCCCATGCAGTTCTTAACTACATACTTGGTTCTTACAGAAAAAATAAGGGAAGTCACAAGGGAGAAATGAAGGGCGTGAAGGCAGTTCTGTACGATACCTTTCGACCCTTCTGCCAGGAACCTTTCCACTTTGCTCTGACACAGTGTTCAGTGTCTGCATGAAAGGGATTATTGCAGCATATCGGACTTCAGTGAAGCAGCGAGCTGCCCTTACACTCTGTGATGACAGCCCAAGGCCCTGTGGTCTCATCTACCTTAAGTAATCCATTTCTTATGCATCCTAATATAGATTAATGGGAACAACAAAACTGATTAGAATCGTTGCAGAACACCATTTGTAATCCTTCCAAATCACAGACAATCCAGCTCATACTAGATCCATAATGAAGTAGGTATGCTTTTCCTTAGAGGTAGATGCCAGGGTAGGTAAGAATTCACAGCTCCCAGGATAGGTGGCTCCATGATGTTAGTAGTAATCTCATTTTAGTCTTTCAGTGCCGGAGCCCATCACAGTTCCAATATGTGCCAGCCACCTCTAGGCTGCAGGATTTTCTGTCTCCACCTAAAATTGCTTTAGAGCTGGATATGTACAGAAGCTTTTGGTCATTATCCCCTAAGCAATGTACAGAAACTACTTACACAGCATTTATGTTGTATGAAGCGACAGAGATAACCGACAGAGGAGCTGAAGCATACCACAGGTTGTCGTAATTGTGTGCTGTCATGAACTCGTTGTGTGTATGAGCCCTGAGTTTTCACAGACCTGGATATCTGAGAGAGTTCTGGAGTGAGTCTTCTGGAACATACTAATCCCAAGCACTGGGATTACAGGTGCTCGACACCATGCTCAGTCTCAGTCGCCACCTCAGTGCACCCCGGGGGTGGGGCTGAATAAGTTCAGTCCAATATCAAAGACTATGACTATGTCCGGTGGCACGGAACAGATTTTGTTTGTTCTGAGCTACAGGTCTCCTCTTTAAATCAAAGAGAGAACCATCTTTTCTGCAAGCACTAAAATGCTTGAAAGAAAACTTGAAGGTCTTATGGAGAAGAGAGTAGTGGGAGTAGGTAAGCCAAGCCCGGTATGCGATGGCAAAGGGCTGCGAGCCAGTGAGCCTGCCGATTCCACCCCAGGGCTCCCACAAGGCCTTTCCCTGTGAAATCCAGCGGGGCGGGTGGGCGTCGTCCTAACTCGTTACATTTAACATTAATATCATTCATCTGAACAGATTTGTACAAATGTAGAAATTTAGGCTAAGAAACACCCAAAATTCCATTTAATATTTTGAGACCCATCTTAAACACTCAGACAGTGTCTATTAGGGTGAACAAAGATGTCTATGCAGTGAGATCCTGGAGATCAATACATTTCTTTAATGCATCCCAGCCATCACCGCCATTTGATTATGTCTTTAGACATGCTGAGTTGAAAGAACAAAACAATTACTTTGCAGGTTATTTTTGTTTTACTCAGTTGGCCATGTTCCAGTTTCCAGAATTAAAGGAGGCTGCAGTGCAGGCTCAGAATATTGTTGAATCATTGATTTAATCACTTCTGAGAAGCAAACAGAGAGAGTGAAAAATCACTTGGGAAGTACAGCTCCTGCTTTCGAAAATAACCTTATTCACGGAAATATCTTGCAGTCCACCATTAGTGCCCATTTTGCAGCTTATTTTCCCTCCGAGGCTCGAGTTGTCACCTGCTAATACTCCCTGAGATTTTATTCCATAACACAGTTGGCCCTCAAGGTGGCTGGACTTTGCCACACAGATAACTGAAGTAATGAATTAATACCAATACTCAGCTTTGGGTCTATGCGCATTTCAGAGGAGATTCTGCATGGAAATAAAACTCCAGACAAAATCATGCACAGGCTAACTTACACTGTTAGTTCACCACTATGAAGCTTTCAGAAAAGTAAGCTCAGGTATAGCTTAATGAGCTGCATGCCCTAGAGGATCTGAATTTAAAATAATCTAATTGCTACGACTGCTGTGTAATTATAGTTGTCTCTGTTTTGTGCTTGCTAGCTCTCTGTTGAAGGTTCTTCCTTGTGTGCTGCAGGGTGGCTCTTGGCGCATCTCATCTCTCTTCCTTAGATAGTATCAAGGTAGACATTTTAAAAGCCTTAGTTACGATCTCCCCTGCCTGTTTCTAGAAGTGGAGAAGTTTCTAGAAAAGAACATCCCTCCTTGCAGAACATAGGAATCACCTTTCAGTACATGCTGTTATCCAGGTTTTCCCTTTCTCTCCAGGTGCAGCCTCGTTAAAGCCCTTCATTGGACACCAGGGATTAACCAGGTGTTTGGTTTTAAAATCAAACTGATACTAACTTGCATTTAAATGAATGCAGATCTTTTAGTTACTCTGAGCTTCCATAAGGTTCAGCCCATCCGTTGCTTTGGGAACTGCATGAGTTCACACATGCAAAGTGATCAGCTGTAAGTGTTTTCCCCAGGCTGAGCCTGCACGCTTCAGTAATGACCCAGGTAACTCAGCATTTCTTTAAACCTCTTTGCTGCTTCCCCAAGAGGGGATTCCTGGAAGCTACCAACAACTTCCCTCTTTGAACATGCTATAATATATTTTGGACAGGATAAAGCAGAAAAGTGCATTTAAAATATGTATACCCCTCATGCCAACTGCATTTGCTCTGTTCAGTTCTACATGTACCAGGCAGAGAAGACACACAGCAGTGGGACAGACTCAGCTTGTCTAGGGAGTCCTCTCTGCAGATGGCCCCACCTCCCTGGGGGGGGAGGAGAGGGTTGGGAGCAGACCCCATCTAGGCCATCAGGGAAGTCACGTTGCATTTCAGCTTCATGGGCCAAGTCAAAGAGCAGGGCTGTGTCAGGAGTCCGCAGGACAATAGCTCAGTAGAGCAAGCGCTGCAGCATGCATGGAACAGAGAGGTGTGACTGGAGGTCAAAAGGTGAGTAGGCCAATTCTGGGCAAAGTCAGGGGCTGCACAGATGAGCTGTTTTACATGTTTCTAAACAATAGGCCCACTCACACACACATTCACACACACACACACACACACACACACACACACACACACACACGGCTTTTACACCACCTCTAAAACAGCAATCAAAGTGATTCACACCTTCAAGAGTTCCAGCCTCTGTTACCTTATAGTGACAGCATCTCCTAGTGTTGCAATCCTGACTGTGAGCTGATGCTGCTTGGAGAGATTCTGACTCATTTGGTTTGAGGTAAAGCCCAGAATGTGCTGTTCCAGTGAGGACTTAGGATCGAGCACCTTTGTAGTAAGGCATAATTATACTTTTAGTTCTTGGCATCTGCTTAGCAGTGTCCATGTTTATTCCAGAGTGGGTGGTAGAACCTGAGTCAAAGCCACCTGGGTCCATCCTTTAAAGAGTGCACTCCTGGGGCCGGGGAGATGGCTCAGTAGGATAAGCGCTTGACTGGCAGACGCAAGGATCTGAGTTCAATCCCCGGTTCAAAAAAAAAAAAAAAAAAAGTGCACTCCTGCATCCTCCTTACCGCAGATGGAAATCCTTACGGAGCCCTTGAAGATTGCAGGACAGGTGGGGGGGTGGGGAGAGAGAGAGAGACAGAAAGACAGACAGAGACAGAGAGACAGAGACAGATAGAGTGAGATTGTGTGTGTGTGTGTGTGAGAGAGAGAGAGAGAGAGAGAGAGAGAGAGAGAGAACAGCAAAGATGGAAAAAAGAGGGTGTATGAGTACTAGAATCTTTATATTTGACAAAAAAGTGACTTACTCTAAAATTTAATAACAACTCTTCTGTAAATTCTGTCTCAAAGGTGAAATTTTTCAACACTGGGAATGGCTTTATTTTATTATTTTACCTCTTAAAGAGAGTACAAATTAGAATTAAACTGAAGAAAATTACAAGTGATCCATAATTTCACTTACCAAAGTAATATGGACTTCACAATAGTTGTTGTAATGCATAGTGTTGTCTTCCAACCAATGATTCATATTACCAGATACATGCAAGTAAAATCAGAAGAAAGAAAAAGAGAGAAATGTTTTAGAAATTAAGGGAAGGTGTGAGCAATTGAAAAAAATGGAGATGAAACAAGTTAGTGGTTTAGACAACTGTACTGTGCATTTCTGTTGGTCTGTGGAAAGAAGCAGTTAACGCTTGAATTTGTTTTGTCTCATTTGTAAAATTGTTTGTACTTTTTCTCTTCTTAATTTCTTATATGTCTTTCATTTTTTTCTTTCTTCCAATTTTACATGTATATATCTGGGAATGGCTTTAAATCTCTCTATGTTAATAGAAAATTGATCTTGGGATACCTATATGTCATATATAAGTAATTAACATTACTCATTATTATTGGAATTTAAGACTAGTTGTGTTTAAAATAAAAAGCAAATTCCAATACAAACTACAGGATCATCTCATTTAAAAATACCTATTTTAATTAATGTATTCATTTGTTGGCACAGGGTCTTGCTACACAGCTCAGACTGGTAGTCATCCTCCTGTCTCAGCCTCCCCAGTGCTGGGATTACAGGCGTTCACCACCACGCCTGGTTTTGTTGGCTGACCCAGCACGCCTGGTTTTCTGGGGCCAGTGCAGCATGTGGTACTGGGGATTGAGCTCAGGTCCTTGAGCTTGCCAGGCAGGTGCTTAGGACTGCAAGCTATCTCCCCTCCCCAAAAAGTACACATTTTGAAGAACGAGAATATACTTTATTTATACTGTTTTATTTTCAGTTAAATGTAAATATTTACAAATCTATCGTTAGATAATGAAAGAAATGTAATGCATGCAAAACATTTAAATTCAGGGGATTGTGATAGCGTAGATGTGGAATGTTTATATTCAATCTCTTTCTCTTTCTCTCCTCCTCTCCCCCCTCTCCATCTTTCACGTACACTCCTGTCCCCACCTCCTCCCCCCTTCCTTGCCTTAAACAGCATCAGATGAAGAAGAGCCAACTTCAGCAGGTAAAGTTCTTAAATTTAATTCTTATTCCTATCTAATTTAAAGCCTTCAATTAAAACACTCGAATTACTTTTTTATTTTTCAACCAGGAAGTTGGCATATTTTAATATTTTACAGAATTTCCTGGGCTGACTGCGCTATGCCAGATTCCATGATGCTGGTGAACGTTCTTGAATAAAAGGAAAATCAATAAACAGTGAGCAACTATTGCAGAGGAAAACACTAAAACAGCCCATCAATGTTAAAAGTGAAGGACAGTTGAGAGACTAGGATATTTATAGGAGTATAGAACTCTAATATGAGAATTATAAAACAAAAAAGCATCAAAAAGAGGAAATGGAATAAATTTTCAAATAACACCTTCTGTGATAGGGTAATGAATTATCAAGTATGTGACACACAGGAGCCATGATATTCAAATTTAAGGGTAAAATTATGCAGTTGTCAAATACACATTAAAGAAAATAAGTTTTGCGACTGCAATTGAATGATTCTGCCACCTGGCATCATAGTTTTGTTATCCATCAGCTAATCAGAGTTTGTCAAGCCCAGCGAGGGCCTGAACTCAGTCCTACCAAGAGCTCAGGTAGCAGAAAACACATGTGACTTCGAAGAGCTTGTCAGGATATTGGCTACATCAAAGTGGAATGCCAGCGCGTTAGAGATCGGGCACACTTGTAATGATAAAAGGGGTGGGACAGTTCTCTTTATTAGTAATTAATTAAAGATCCAGAGCTGTAGGTCAATGTGTGGGGGTCGGGCAGAGTCTGTGACACATTGTGGTTCGAAAAGAGAATAGCACATGTTAGCGCTGGCCAGCATCCTTTATTTTTTAATATTAATTTTATTGAGGAAAGAAATCGCACTGAGACAGTTTCAAAACAGGTTAGTAGGACAGTTACAGTAATTAATACCTTGTATATTGTTGTCTTCATAGCAGTTATTCATAGTACTAGATGCAGACATGATATCTTGTCTAAACACTATTAGTACAAATCTTTCTTCTCATTGAACTAAGAGAAAGTAGCTGTATATCTATATTTACTACAAAATGGTCCTTCATTTATATCACCCTTTTTTGTTTACTTTTGTCAGAGATGGGTATCCCATTGCCATTCAAATACTGTAGGTGTCTGAATTCAGCAAAGTAATCCAATATAGTCCAGTAGTCAATAATAGTAGTGGATTATCTGTAGGACTGGCAATGTCAGAAGTTGTTGGCTTGAGCCTTTTACAGCTCAGCATATTAATATGGCTTTACTTTTTATACCTCATTTTTATACTTTTCGACTGGATGGTTAAGAAACTGGGAATTTTCCCAGAGAACTGAAAACATCATATCATAGTGACTTATGTGCTCCTGTGTTTATAGCAGCACAATTTGTGATAGCTGGATCTTGGAAGCAACCAAAATGCCTGTCACATGAGGAATGGATGAAAACGATGTGGTATTTTTATACAATGGAGTATTACTCAGCTATGATAAACTCGAAGCTTTCATATATAAGTGGATGCTACTGGAAGATATACTCATAAGTGAATGACCCACATGTGTAAATATCATATAGTCTCCCTGGTGTAAGAACTCAAAAGAAGAAATAAACATTGAAAGGTATAACACAACTAAATGAAATATGAGAATTTAAGGATTAAACAAAAAAGAGAGGGCAAGGAGAAAAGCTAGGAAACATGGCAGGGGCAAAACCATACATTTATATACACAAGATGGTTAAGGCAAAGATCCTGAGAATCTCCATCAGGTTTTTGGAACTAGCAGTTAATTGGCAGGGTCCTTCTTAGTAGAAGAGAAGGCATCATTCCTGCCAGAGAAGAGTAGGAAATGACTGATAAAATCATTGGGCCGTGGGCACTTGCTTCTGGGAAGGGAGGCTGTGGTCCTCGTCCTAGAATGCACAGCAGACCTGATCTGAGCCAGGACCTTCCCTATAAGAGTAAAATCAAAAGAGCAAAAATTCAAGGGAGAAAAGAAAATGACTACTATACCGAAATGTTGGATGATCCATAAAGGTCATATTGCATCGTACTAACTGCGGTTATACTCCCAAAACAGTGAAGTCAGAGATGCAGATAAATTCCTAACTGGTGTTTCACTTCATAGTATCTGTAGTTTAATATCTAATTTGGATAATGGGAAATCCTTATCGTTTGCTCCTCTTGAAGCTGCGATTGTATGACCTGATTTCAGGCCCCTTGCGATCACGTGACTCAGTCGCACACTTACCCCTCGGGTGCCTCTCCTGCCTTGTCTCTGACTTCCTTTTGTCACTTACAGAAATGCTAGCAGACTTCTCTTGTGTATGTTATTTATTTATCTTTATTGTTATTACTTATTTCCAATATACGATACTTACATTAATATTGGGGAATTGCTAGGGAGACATACTGTATTTTGGTCATTGTTACTCTTCTTTTCACCCATCCTCAGATACTTTCCCCCAGCAACAAATTCTGCCTCCCTTCTTCTTTCCCTCTTGCATTTCACTCTTAAAATCATGCATACTTTGAGCTTTGCATATAAGAGAAACCATGTGCTATTTATTCTCCTGCACTTGTGCTATTGCACTTAGGATTGTGGTCTGGCCGTCCACCCACTCCCCCCCACCAGGTGGATTAAATGCATCCTTTTTTATGGCCTGGCAGTACTTGGGTTTGTAAACGGGCACATTTTCGTTTTCTGGTCACATGCTGATGGTCAGAGGTGGCCTTTGCATGGCTCAGCTTTTGGGAATCCTGCTTCTATAAACAATATGTGTGCATAGTTGTAATTTGATGATGAAGATTAGGGAAAACACCCAGAGGAGAAGTAGCTGGGTCACATGGAATCTTCCTGCTGAACTCTGTGGTATTTGTACTGTTTACAGTCCCACAATGCAGAGAGCTTATTGTTACGCCCTTGACCTCTCCCGCATTTATTTGTTGAATTCTTGGTAGTAACCAGTCTTCCTGAGGCAAGACAGAATCTTCGTGGTGTTCTGATTTGTTTCTGTAAAGGCCAAAGACGTTGATCATTTTTTCATGCAGCTTTTGGCCTTCTGTGCTTCATCTTTTCCAGCGTTTGTGTATGTCACTTCCCCACTTTTTGCTTAAGTCTTTTGTTTTCACAGGTCTAATTTTTTGTGTTTGTACTTTTCAAATATTGGGCCTCTGTTCAAGGAGTAGCAAACAAAAAGTTTATTCCTGTTCTAGAGCTTCCTCCTCAATGCACAAATCATTTCTTTTGTTATCAAGAAGTTTTCTGGTGTTATGTAACTGCATTTGATGTTTCTTGCTATTATCTCTTATATAATTGGGGCTCTCTTTCTGACCTAATACCAGTGTCCTCAGAAAGTTTAAATATCTTATCTTCTAGCAGATTAAGTATTTCTGTTTTTCAATTTAGTTCTTCCATCCTTTGTGATTGCATTATAGTACCAGGTGTGACATATATGAATCTGTATTCATTGTTCTGTAGGAGTGTAACCAAGTTCCAGATCTGTACATTTTTTTCTTATCTGAATATCTGTAATTTTATTTATGAGTATTATCTCATAATTTTTTGAAATGCATATTTTTGATGTAGATGTGTTGTATATTTATTATGTGAAGAATAGTGTTGATTTTATTCTCATGTTCCTCACTGAAAGAATTTTTCTAAACTGAGATTCATTTTGGGGTCTTCCTTTAATTTTCTTTCTCTTGTACAATTTCCCCATTCTGTTTAAAACATCAATGAAATATAGTCATAAATTAATGTATTCAAAGGCCAGCCAAATAGCTTAGCAGATTAAAGCACCTGCAATTAGGTACAGGGGCCAAAGTTTGATCCCTGGATCTGCCATGCCAGCCCTGCCCCTGGGGCGCACTGAGAGGGTAATTGAGACTGGGTGTGGTGATGTGGGCCTATAATCCTAGCTCTTGGGAGGCTGTACACAGGTGGATCACTACAAGTCTGATTTATGAGTGAGACCCTATACACGCTGTCCTAAATTTTAAAAAATATTAATTTATTCATTCATCATCTTTGTTTATTGTTCCAGGGATCGAACTCAGGAACTTGTGCTTTACCAGGCAGGCATTTATTCCATTGAGCTATATTGCTTCCCAATCATGAATCGATTCAAAGGGCTAGGGAGATAGCTCAGCCTCATAAGCACCTTCCTCGCAAGCCCAAAGTCCTGAGTTCAATCCCTGACACCACAAATAATAGTAATAATAATGACAATAATAATAAATTCAAATTTCATCTATCCCCACAGTTTCTTTACATGGCTCATACTCTTCCTTAAGAGTCACACCATAGTGGGATGACAGCTCTTTCCCATGAAAGATCCTGACTGAAAATCCTCAGCGAGGGCTAAGGACTAGAAGTGGAGCTTAGCCTGGTGTCTACTGTCAGAATTCTTATCAGTTTTTGGATTTCTTTGCTATGACCAGAATCACCCATTAAGCTCACCTTATAGCATTTGGGGCCTTCTCTGTCCTGCATCCTCCAACCTTTTCAAATTTCTCTTGCAAACTAGTTGCAAAATGTTCTTGATCACGTGATCAGACAAAGTCACAGCGAGGACGCACTTCTCCAGCACCCGTTTTCTGTGTTAGACAACCTTCCCCATGCGGGAACAAAACACCCAACACCCCCAAATTAAGAGAGGAAAGGATGTATTTGTCTTCTAAACTCGGCTGACTCCAAGGCAAAGGCTCTGCGGAGGAAGTGTGTGCCGGCTGAAAGCCGCTCCTTTGGTGTGGGCTGCGAAGTGGAACAGGAAACAGCATCAGGGAGGCAGGGGCTGTGCAGCAGATATAGACCTCGGGCTCGTTTTCCAGGACTCCTGGACCTACCCAGAAGTAGGCTTTGTGAATCCACCAGCTTCATTTCAAACCAACCGAGTTTTCAGTTAAGCTTAACATTAGCTGAGAAGAAGAGGCAGAGAGCCAGGTAGCTAGGGGCGAACAAGAAGCCATAGTCTGGAGAGTGTGCTCTCAGGATCAGTCTTGCCAGCTG